TTTTTCCTAACCTCCTTTCTAATTTAAACCATTCCATTCTGTATTTTAAGACACCTATACCTAAGCCTAAAAGCATATGCTGTTTCTCCATCATTTTTTTTGCCTATCATTAGACACCAGTGCTTGGATGCAGTTACACTATGGAGGCACAAGCAGTCTTTAAACACATCAGACAGGTACTGTAATCCCAAGTGTGACCTGGACCCCAGCCTGTGGTCAGGTGGGAGCTGTAACTCATTACAGATGTGGATCTGGGGCGCTGGGCTCTGCTGCAGGACAGCATTATGGGATAACTTCACAACAGAGCAGGAAAGGAGCAGGAATTCCTGGTGGGACTCCAGGTGTGAGGATGTTCAGGTCTTCATCCCTGATACTCCCTAGCCCAGGTCACTACAGCACAGATCGAGATTCAGAGGAGTCCAGAGAGCCTCCTGCTCTCTATATCTTTAATTACTGGGTAGTCACAGTGCACAGCCCTGCCAGCCAGACATGATGCCTCTTGGACAGAGACCTGACCGCCAGTAGGTCACTTGGCTCAAGGCACTGCATGGCCTACAAGAAGAGCTGCCTGGCTCCATCCACAGCCTTCAGTCTGGCCTTTGGCAACAAGACCCACTGTCCTCCACCTCCCTAGGTGTGCTGCCGCTAGCCGCCACTGAAACTCACATTTTCTCATAAAAAGATAATTCCCAGATGTTTGAGTTTATTTCTTGAGATTATGTTGGGCTGCAGCCCAGTGCAGTGTGCCTGCTCAAAACCCTTTTTGATCACATTAAAACCTTTCATCGCATCGGGGAGAGGATGTGTGCCAGTTATCGCCCTTAAGGAGTACCTCTGCTCTAAAGTGGAAAGTTTTAAAGAGACTTTGGCTGTATCTGAAGAGAGCTGAAAAGCATGATGAAGGCTTCAAGCACACATGTTAACCAGTGGATTGAGAATGTTCCTAGAAAGTTTTCCTTGTAGAACTGAAACTGGGAACACATAGTCTTCACATCATTATCCACATTATTAAATCTTGAAAACCAAACCACATGCAACAACACAGCTGTTCTAACTAAAGGTGTTTAATTCCCACTATCATCTCAAAATACACATGCTCCAGCTCTTGGTTTTGTAAAGAGCAAGCAATGACTAGAGGGAAACTGCCTGTCCTGATTTCCATGTCTCTGCTTATGTTCACAAATTAGGAAAAAAACTACTTACCCCTAGAAGGGTAGCTAAAATTCCTAGAGCTGAACAAATAAAGGGGATAACCTGTTATGTAGTTAGAAATGCTAACTATAGTTGGTCCCAAAAGTCACATCTGGGCAATGCTAGATTTTTAGATAAGGGTAGAGTATAAGAGACTTAAAAAGCTGAATTATTAAATAAATATCTCTGGCACACCATATGGAATCATTTTCACATGTGACATGATTGTGCCCATCTTACTTAGCAGGAAACTACAAAGGCTTGTGAGGATGTACCTGTTGCAACTCTTGCGGTACCAAGGTGGAGATATGGTCCTAACGCAAGCTTGGGGAATGAGCCTTCACAGCAACACAGCTACCATCATCCTTAGGCACAGAAGCACTGCCCAGCCCAAACTGTAGGAAAAAATGGGGGAGAAGCACCCTTCCTTTTGCCCAACTTGTCTTCAAGCCCCTTTTCCCTAAGAACCTGGGTAATTTCACATCCATTTGTTCACCTCTGTTCTGTGTTTCCTACCTGAACAGATTGCAGACAACATAGGGTTAGATGACATGTTTTGAAAATGTGTTGACCATGGGAATTGGGAACACAATAAAAAAAACATGCCTCAGGCACCTCAAAATCCACACAGAAAACTTATCGCTATGCTGCTATCCAGCATGGCAAGTGTTTCCAACAAAATAAAAGGTTTTCAATAAACACTCCAAGGCAATCTGTGACACATTCAGAAGGGAAGAATCCGGTTAATTGCAGAAGATTACATTAGCATGTTTACCACATGTGAACACAGTGGAAGAATTTCTGTAGTTGCTTTAGTGGGCTTCACAGTATCCCATGGGATCATACCTGACTGTCATAAGGATGAGATGCCTGGACCCTGCAAAATTGTCAGATGCAATTATCTTAAAGGGAACAAATTAATTGGCAACTGTGTTGTACAGAAAACCTGTGCTCTGCAGGTGATCGCTCTGCTCTAGGGGACACTGACCTCTCCTTCTGACCGCAGAGTGAAGCTCTAGGAGCTGCCAAGGGCTCTGCATCACAGCGTGCCTCCTGCTCAGTGCAGTGACAAACCCCATCCTGCAGCTCCAAACCCACAATGAGCTACAGCTTCATCTCATCCTGGCCCTCATCCCGATAGCGTTAACAATGGCTTTGTGACGTTTCTATTCCTTTCCACTTCATTCGGAAGAAATTAGTCCCTTTAGGTTTTGTTTGGGTGTTTAGCACCTATCCATAATCTATTTAGATTGTTAGAAGGTGGGGTAAAGCAGTAAAAGGAAAGAAATCAAAGTTTCAGCCAAGTCCTGTGAAGTACCTGGAGTTATTTAATTACACTTTTGAAGCTATCATCTCTTTACAAGCTTTATTAGTTGCATGGCTAATAAATTCTCCTTTATTACATTAATATAACTTGAAACTCCAGTACAAAATTGCACCTATCTTAAAAAACAAACCAAAACAGAACTTTCAAATAGTTATAAGCAATTGCTCTGTAAAAACCTGAAAACCTGGAAGAACCATTAGGATCCTTGGACCTGACCACTTACAAGACACATGTGATATAACCTCATCTAGTGATGCCTCAGTTTCTGGCCAAACACAAGCACATCACTGTCTTCCTGCAAGACAGCACCTGGTAGTCTGGGAGACCTGGCAGCTGCATTTATTACACTTTAAAGTCTGCTGGTAATTATGGCATTCTGTAATAACCTAGTGTGACACAGAAGATAAGGGATATTTTACATATGTATTGATTTTTATTGACCTTCCCCTTCTCATTTTGATGGCCAGAGTTTTTCTTCGGCTTATTCACGACCTGAGTTTAAAACAATAGGGGGTTTGGTACTTGGTTTGCTGTTGTGGTTTGGGTTTTTCCATGAGATGGGGCAGTTATTCAAGCAAGACTTCTAGACTTTTTTTTTTTTCCTTAAGCAAATCACATATTGCTTTATTATAACTGACAGACGAGAGGCGATGAGAATTAAACAAAACTATCCACTGCTTTTCAAAAAGGCGCCTTATTCTGCTGTTCCTTCGAGGGTACTTTATGCTCGGCAGCGCTCCGGGCTGAGCAGCAAGCACTAGAGCACTGCTGCTCTCTACAGGTCTGCGCTGCACGGTACTCAAACCAGACACGAAACCCAAGAGTCCTGCGAAAGATTCGGGAAAGGGAAACCCTGACGCTAATGTTGGCTTTTGAGAAATGCAACCGGCCAATCTGAGTCTTTCCGTCCTGCAGCTCACGTGTGTAAAAAGCCCCAAATCAAGCTGCTTTCATAAAAGGGAAGGATTATCCGTGGTGCACGAGAGTACAATTTCTGCTTTTAATCTTTTTCCTGCAAGTGAAGAGGAAACGCTGCACCCTCAGGTGCAGAGTTAAGAGGAACCATCTGCTCCCCGATGGGAGCCCTCTCCCACCACAATACGCTGGTGCACGAAACACGATGAGGCACAGGAGGGCTGGAAACCACCTTGCACTCTGCAGTGCTGAACTTTAAAGACAATTTGTGATGCAATTATAATTCACTAAAATTTGGCCGTGGCTTTTCATTGTCCGGAATTTTTTCTTTCTCTGCTTTTTCCTCTGTAACCCACAAATTTAGGTAACTCCTTTTCTGCCCCTTTCACTAGCACAGACAAACAAGATAACCCGGAGTGAGCTCAGCACTGCTGAAAACAGTCAGCTCTCATAACAGGAGGACAATAGTAAATAAATCTATCCAGCCAACACAAGCAAACCATGAAGACATCAGAAGCACCTCTTTAACCAGAGGCTGTGGATTTCAGGATCAGGTTACCAGAGACGGTATCAGATCACAAGCTTTCAATAGAGGAAAAGGCAAACTCGGAGGGGTAAAAAACAAAACAAAACAAACAAACAAACAAACAAACAAACAAAACCCCAAAAACCAAAACCAAACCAAACCCGATAAAACCCCCGAACGACCAAACCCAGCTTATTTGTGAAATCTGTTATCTACAACTGAATATTGCTGCTGAGATGAACAGCCAGGTATAGGAGCAAAAGCGCGGTTAGAACCTCAAACAGCAGGACAGTGTGATCTGGCATATGGAAACTCTGTGAAGGTTTTTCTGTCCATAAGGCTAGAAAAGCTCACCAAAAACTGATTCCCCGGGACCAGCAGGCCCAGCAGGCTTTTAACAAGCATGTTCCTAACGACTTAGCTCCACACGGAGCATGCCACTCATACGACTGCTTGTGAGAGAGTAAGTGACTGTTCCAGCTTCTTTAAATACCAGTTTTTCTGGAGACAACTTATTTTTGGTACTGGATACCCGATGAAAACTTCGACATACGTGACTAGAAAATAGCATTCTGCTATTTATTTCTATTTTTTCACTGCCCCAGCAGCAGTACCACACTCCTGGGAGCTGTGCTCAGAGGGGCAAGTGACAAATGCCACAAGACTCTCCGGGTTGGGTGTGGGTACAAGATTTATTACCTCACACTTACAGAATAAATAGATTTCACCTTAATCCAGGTATCTCCACGGATTTCCTCACTTAGAACTTTGGCAATACAGAAGAGATGAGGAGCATCCACTGCAAGAAAAAAAAAGTGAATGTACATAAAAGATTTCCAAATATCAACTTCTGGGCTGTCCAGGTTAAATTAATCGAAAGTATTGATTATTCTAGAAAGAAGATATTTCCAGTACGGGAGAGACCAGATGCCACTGGCTACGTGGGGGGTTCTGGCTGCCCCTCCTGAGGGAGCAAGCGCCGGCGCCGCAGAAGCCCCGTAAAGCCTTTGGGAAGAGCCGCTTCGGGTACCGGTCGGGACACTCCTTGTCGGCGAGGCTGGCCGGTCCCCGCCCGGGGAGGTACCGTCCGGCCGCCCCGCCCGTGCACTTCCTCAGCGGCCCGCGAAGGCGGCCGCGGCAGCCGTCGTGCCCCTGCGTGGGGCGCAGGCGAGGAGCCGCGGCGGGACCATGACCCAGAGCCGGGAGCCGCGTCCCGCCGCGCCGTTAGACAAGGAGCTGGAGGCGCTGGGGTAAGCGGCGGTAGGGGGGGGACGACTCGGCGGGGGTCCCTGCGCGAAATGGCGGCCCCCGCCCAACCCCGGGGGCGTCTGAGGGGCGCGGGGTCCCCGCGTGAAATGGCGGCCGCCCGACGGGCGCTGACAGAGTGGCAGTTGAAGCTTCTTGACTTTGGTGGTGAGGTGAGGAGTAAGATAGACGGGTTTGTTTTAACGAGCACGTCGAACGGCTCCGTACATGGTGTGCAGCCTGTCAGAGAAGCCCAACACCTCGTCCCTGTGGTGCGTTTGAGAGGCTGGCAGGCTCTGAGACATTTAACCTGTCTGGAAGAGTGCAAGGTTGTGGCGCGTCTCTTACTGTGCCTGAAGAAAGCACCAAGCCCAGACCTTGTCCTCAGAGCTGCCTGTCCTCCCCCAGCTGCAGACCTGCACCATCCCTTCGTCCATCCCCTCACAGCTTGGTCTGGAGGGCTGCCATCGCAGCCGCCGTGCCGGCTCCCCTTGCAGGGCACCTCGGGCTGAGGAGTGAGAGCAGTGGAACGGTTCACAGCCGTTATGAGGACGTCACCCTCACTCGCAAACGAAACCCAAGGAGCAAAAAGAAAGGCTCATGGTTGCGACAGACCTCCTTCCCTCTCCGATGCGACTCGCCCATGTTGCCTGCCAGTTAGTTTTGCTTTTACAGGAGGAAGGCTTGGGTTACGTTTTTACCAGCAGCAGTGCTGCGGGTGAGAAGAAACGGAGGCTGAAGGAGCAGTATGGCTGGTACAGGCAGGGAGGGATCAGTGGCAGCAAAATGGAGACAACGCAGAGGAAGGCCAGTGAAGACACAGCAGAAAGGCTTTGGTGTCACCTCTGCATTCAGAAAGAATAGATGAAAAAAGTAAAGTTTTTTTGCTTCCTGAGTACTTATGGATGAGAACCAACATTTATTTCTGCAATTGACTTAGTGGAGAAATTGGAGTGCAACAAAGAGACTTGGAATTACCATCTCTGCACTGCTAAAGTTTCCCCATATTTAGAAGAGCCTGTTAATGAAATGCCTGTTACTGAAGCATCTAACAAATATGAAATGAAGTGACTTTGCAGTGGGACCCAGAATAGTCATAATACGCACTTCCTTTACATCTCTAAGATTATGCTCATTGTAAAATAGTATCTATAGAGGAAAGAAAAAAGCAAAAAGAGTTACAGCTCATGTGGGAAGCGCAATTCTTGGTTGCCAGACTTTTATTAATTTCCACTATATGGCCTGAGTAGATTTATGCCAGTAACCTGTGCCTATAAATAGGCTTGCTGATTGGCAAGGAGTTTGTCCTCATAGATGATCTTGTAGGACTGCAGCCTGATGTGGTGTCTGATGTGGTACCAGTGAGAAGAAAAAGCTACAAATACACATTTTTTTTTAAACCTGTAGCTTCTTTATTTCCACTTTGGTGAAAAACCTAAACTTTTAACCCTATCACGTAATCCTAAAGATCTCTTTGAAGGCAGTGTGTTGAGTTAAATGCGCTAAAGGTAAATAAGCAATGCCAACCAAAGGTTCCCTTCATATCATTAAACAAAGCCCTTTTTTCAGCTAATACTAATGCCACTTTCCGCCCCTTCAAAGAGGAAAAAGAAGGCCTCACACCCTAAACATGCCGGTAGAATAGTCTTAAAGATCTCTTAAAGTAAGTACTTTTTAAGCTGTGAGAAGTAGGTATGTCACTCTCCAACCATAACATTAAATTGTCAGCCACCACAAGGGTTTTTTCCCCTAAACTTAGTTGCTGGTGCTGTCACGGAGTTGAGCTCCCCTGGCACCTGAAAGAGTATCTAGCACAACTGAGACAAAGTTCTGTTGAGGAATATCCATCATTGCTATAGTAAAGACCATCAGAGACAAGGGTCACTCAGATGAAGAGCAACTTTGACATTCACTTCCCTTTGGGAGTGAGATTTGAATCAGGTTATTTTAGGGCTTCTGCTTTACTGTGCAAAAATCAAAGAAGTTGGAGAAGGTTTGAAGAAGAGTGAAAAGGGAAGGACTTTACTTTTAAGGGAAAGGTGGTTGGGTAATGGGATATCTTCATAGTTTACCAGGTCATCTGGTCATCAGAATGGTAAGTTGACAGCAATAGAGATGGGTGTACAGCATAAATCCTGTCTGTCCCACTGCTACGTTTGGAGGACCTGCTATGTGCTGGACTGTTCTAGATTAATGCTTCTGAAATTACACTGAGAATATTGGAGTGCATGGGAGCAAAGCAGGAGGGGAGGGGGGTTTCTGTATATACAAACCCCATCTTTATGTTACCCCTGCTCTAGAGATACTTCATCTGTCACAAAAATAAAGATCAAGAAATGAGAATTAGCGATCCCTGTTACCATCAGGGACAATCACAGTCACTGAAAGATCTAGGTATACCTACACCTGTTTATTGGATTGATTTAGTTTCTCCAAAGCCTCAGTATTTGTAAAGATGGACTCCCTGATCTTTTACATCAGAACAAAAGAAAGCAGAAATAATGTGTTTGGCTTTTATTTAATTTTTTTTTTTTGTACTGTTTTGTGCAGTCTGAGGGAAGGTGATTGCTTGTATTTATTCAGAGAGTTCAGCAGGTCAAACAACCAAAAGTTCAAAGTGAGAATTAGGATTACTGTCAGTTTCATTGCCAAGGTGTTTGTAGATGGAACTAAATGCCTAATGAAACAGAAGAAGAGCAAAATCAGAACATGTTGTTAAAAACATGTTAGCTCCTTCATTAACTTAAATCTGCCAAAATACTTAAAAGGGGGCACTGAAATTTATCAGAAGAGCCATAAGCATCTTGGCTTAAAGGAAAAGGAAACAGATACTGTGATTCTTCTTTGAAGGTCTCTTTGGCTGTTCTTGAAGTCCACCCTTTTTCCAGTCACATTTATTGCTGTTACTGCACATTGCAGTGTGAAACTGCTGTGGCTGATCACCTATGGTGTGAGTTTGGGGAATTCCACATTGTGGTTTGTGTTACTTGCACAAGAGATGAGAATGTGGAATATCTTGTTATCTGAGTAATTACAGTCTGGTCTCATAACACAGCTTCTGTCCCAGCATAATAGCATAGCTTGGTGACACTGTTTGTCTTTTGGAAGTGACAGGAATGGGGCAAGGGGAAACAAGTTTCTGTAGACTTTTTCCTTTTGTAGTCTGAGTATTCTTTGTCATCCTGTGCAGCACAAATTTTACATTCCTCCAGCTTGAGGTTTGACAGTACCATGACAGATGGTATTTGTAAGACTGAATGCTTAGTTTCAGTAACGGAAGATAAATTGAGCCACAGACTTAGATCAGATGGTGATGGAATTGGGGAACTTGGACTACTGGGACAGGGCAAACGGTCATAAGATTTTTTTTTCCTTCATCTATATTTCTAGTGTAAACAGGGCAAAATTACAATGGCTAAAAAGTAAGCAAAAGAAATGGGTGAAAACCAGAACAAAGGCAGTTGAGAGAAGGGGAAAGAGAAAATGGAAGTGAAAAGCAGAAGGTGAACTAGTGAAAGCCTGCAGTTAGATGAGGTGAAGTTTAGCGCTGGATACACTGATATTATTTCCTCCTATTTCTATTTTTAAATTATTTTTTCTACAAAACAGCACCTTTGCATTCCGACAAAGTGCTTTACATAGTTGTGTGATCAAGTATTTCAGTGTGACACATTGAAAGAATGTCTAAATAAGTACCACTTTTGGTTGTATGTCACCTAGAACTTCTGTCTTACCATTCTTGCCCTTTTGTAGGTGCTCTAGAGCTCTGTCAACTCGTGCACTATTAAAAACATTGCTAAAACTTCACTTTTACTGATGTAAAGAGTCCTTTTTTGTGACTTTGAGAAGCTGGGTAATGCTTCTAGCGTTTCGTATTAGGAAAAAAAGTTAAAAGCAAACAAAACCCCCAAACTTGACAGACATGATCTGGAAGTTGCTGAAATCCACCATGCAGAGAATTGGGAGCTAGTAAGGCTATTTTGTAGAGTAATTTTTAGAGTGCGGGCAAGTGAAAAGCACTGTGTCCAGCCACAGGAGAACTCTCTGCTTTCCTGTTCACTCCATCAAGTAGTATAGTATTCTACACATTTCACCTAAGAATGGGAGTAGAACTTTGAGGCTAGTATATAGTTTCAAAGTGTAAGGAAATTCAACTTATGGTAGGAAATACATTTTTAATAATAATAATAAGGAAAGTGGAAAACCTGGCAACATCTGCCATGACTAAAAAGGCAGCCCAGGGTAAATAAATGTTCTGAATAATAGTGAAGTCCTGCGGAGAGCACATCTGGACTGTCTCCCTGCCAGCGTTGATCTCTGTTCCCTTTCAGAGGTGGACAAGAGAGAATTTGTTATGCTGTGTTTCCGCTTTACTCCTGCAGCTCAGGCAACCAAGGTGCTTTCCATGGGGACAGTCTCCCACCAAGGAGCACAGGAAGTATTTGACCTTCTGTGGTAAGGGAGGGAGCTTCTGGGAAGGAATCGGACACAGCTGACTACTGAGAATCGCCTTCCTGCTTCAGCAAAGGAACTTTGAATTGCTGGACTCTACAAAAGCAAAACAAGCATCCACAAATTTTCTAACTCTATCTAGGCTATAACTATCTGAGAACATAATCTGATAAGGATATGAAAATAAGTGTAACCTCTGTCTACTGCATTTATCTGACAGCTGGTGTACCTCAGAGTTGTTACACCAGAGGTTAAAACCAAATGGCAGTCAGAACTTCTAGCTGTTCTCTCTTCTGGCACTAGCTACCTTTCATTTTTATGAGGAGGAAAAGTGAGTATTTCTGCTGGGTGATACACAGTTTGCACATAAAGCTAGCTGAGAAGAGAATTATCCAAGTCACTCAACATTCATCCTTAGGTTAACCATGGATGAGTGTTTGTATTCCTTATGTATTCCAGTATTGTTAAGAAGTTAATCCAGCTGATGCCAGCTACCGGTTTATTCGCCAGCCCCTATTTACACAGACAGAAATGTTTTGCAAAATATAGTTTCTTTGTGTAAGGGTTGTCTGATCTGCAGGTAATGAAGTTTCATTAACATTTTTCTTTGAAACTTCTTGAGCTGTAAAAGAAAAGAACAAGTGAACATTTTGAGGATGATGTTCTTACCTGAAGAGGGAGTTTCCCACCCCAAACATTGCTGTAACATACTCCTGATCATCACCACTGTGTATGGAGTTCTGGTCACTGCATTAACTACACAGAGATCTTAGTGCAAGAAGAGATTTTAACACAAGTATGTGCATTGTGTGGTACTGATGATTAGCATAGCTGCAGTGGTACAGACATGGCTTGCCCTGTGGCAACCACTAGCTTATCCTACTTGGGAGCTCCACTGCTGACCAGCTGGCCAGACTCTCAGGGCAAGGCTGTGTGCTCTGATGAGTTTGGTTCTCTGGGGTGCTGCATGTCTCATTTCTCTCCCCTTAACAGCAATGTCAGTAAAGCCCTTCCTGCACTATCACCAATGCAATCTGGTATAAAGGGTAGGCTGATTTCTGAAATTGCTTTGTTTTCCAGAGAGAAGCAGAAGTAATCTCACTAGAGCTGAGTGCTTTCATGGTGTTTTTAAGTGCTTCTTAAGACATGATTTCATGGGCCCAGCAGACTCTTGCAATCCAAAGTGCAGGAAGACTAGCATGGTCCTTCAACAGCACACCCTGGCAACTCAAACAAGCTTACATGTATGGAGTAAAGAAATTTAATATAACTTAGGACAAAGTTAAGGTAACAAGAATGAATAAATGACAGCAATTATAAACTCTGAAACTGAGATCATTAGTCAAATTGATGATAAGGAACCCCCAAAAAGGAGAGCATTCAGGACTTTTTATAGGAGAAATAAAGTAATTGGAAAAGAAAAAACTCCCAGAAGTATGTGTGCATTTGTGACAGGAAGGCATGGAAGGCCATGGGCACTCAGCAGAAGTGGCTCTGAAGCAAGGAGGGACTTTCTGTTTTTCTACCTGTGTTACTTCAGAGAAATTTGAATAAGGAACCCCAGACAATTTTCACAGTACTGGATTATTTTTATAGTGAATACAAGGCTCTGTAAGTTGGGTCAAATAAAGATGGATTTTGGAAGGACCTTCAGAAACAACCCAATATGCAAGATATGCACCATGGTTCAAAATGAAATAGTTAAGATGGTTTAGCTTTTTGAAGGACTTGCTCGGGGCTTCAAACACTGATGAGTGTTTATAAAGCCTTTAGATCTGCTTAATTTCTTGCTTTAAGAAGGGACGAAGGTAGATACAGTATTATATTTTCTGTCAACAGTTTCCTTGTCCTCCATTTTCTCAGAAACACCAAAACCTAAGCTAAAGGAGGTTGCCCTTTAGGTGAATGATACCATGTTGGTTTACCTGCAGATTTCAAAGAACTGCCTGAAGGATGTTTTTCTGAACAAGACAAATAGAAGGATCCCCCCTCTGACAAGTACTTAAATTTAACTGAAGTGTATCTAGTAATGTCTACCCACAGGGCTGTTTAGATTTCTTTTTAGTCTTATTTACTTCTTTTTGTGTCACCAGGCAGGTTTGATTGGGAGAGCAGTCTGTCTGCATAGGTATGTGTTTGTTTAACCTCCTGCTGGCCTGGGTGTAAATGCTGAACTTCCCACAGCATTTTTAAATCTTACCTGTGGTCATGCAAATTCTGAGTGGCCATTTTCAGGGGAAAAAAAGAAAAAAAAAGCAGCTATGCATAACACAGTCACTTTGGCACTAAAATCTGTATTTGTCTCACATCCAGTTCTACTTGTTAAGCTGATCAAGAAGAACACAGTACCATTTGAAGGGCTTTTGTCTGAGGTAGCATATTTAGGCAAGATGACTAATGCAACCTTGTCAGCAAATATTTAAAACTGCACTTTAAACCAACATTATTTTCCCAGTTAAGTGGGTAGGATTTTGTTGATGGCTTTTGATTGGTTTAATATTTTTTTTTCATGGTGGTAAAATTTCATTACTCATTGGCTTTTTATGTGTAATGAGAGAGTAGATTTAAACACAGCATTTTTTTAAACATAAGTGACTTCTATTTTAACACCTTAGTAGGCTTTTTGGACATAAGGTAACAATACACTTAAAAGCAACCTCAAACTGAATACGCCTCCTTTATGAGCATGGCCACTTACAGATTTTCTCTGTGTATGCTTCTTCTGTACATAAATGAGAGAAACAGTGTTACAAATTTCCACCCAAAACACAGTGTTGTCCTCTCAGCCAAGTGTGCATGCTGATATGATCCCCATCACAGCAGGACAGATCTGACCTTTAGCAGTTACTTGCTTGGGCAGTTAATCCCAAAGCAGATTTTGGCTAACAGGTGTTTCAGAGGATGACACTTTGATGTTTAAATATTCATAATATGATTCTACTATATAGATAGTCCACGGACCACGTTCTAGAGCCAAAGCATCCATACCCTGACTGTATTGAATTTCACATGGATCTTGTCTTCTTTGGGTTTAATAATCTGGAGTCTGTTGTAAAGCAATTTATCAACCAGCTGGCCTTTCAAATAGGCAGCTGTCTAAATCAGAGTTAAAAACTTAGCACAAGGTGCCAAATTTAGTGGCAGCTTACAGTGAACAGATAAAGGAGAAAAAGCGTACAGTTACACCTTGTTTCAGGCTAAAGACTGCTATGATACAAATGTTGGAAAGTGCTGTGATCACACTTCTGCTTTCAGTCAAACTGTATTTCTCTGGCTGAAACGGTAATAGAGTTTGACCCTAATACTCTTGGCACACACATTTTAAAAGGAAGGGAAAGGAGACTGGTCACTGCTCTGCATACAGACAAGGGGAGATGCTTGCACCCTGCAGAGCTGTGCCCTGGATACAGTCTCCCCTCCTCCTTCTGCACCAGAGGTTCTGGTGTGTTTATATAACTGCACTAATATCTTCACACTGCATGTCTTATGGGATAGCACTCCAGCCTCTTACATCTGTGGCTTTTTCTTTGTGTTCAGTCTCAGGATCATGTCTAATAAGATCCTTTTCTATTGAAAGGAGTCAAGCGTTTCTGTTATGAAACATTCTGGGTACAAAGAAAGCCATAAACAACATTTCATGATCTTTCCAGGATTTTTTTCTGTGATTTCCTTGTGGAATTTTTCATATAAAAAAACCCAATGAGGTTAGTTTTAACTGATGGCAAATGAGGCAGCTGTTTAGGTCTAGTTTTTCTGCATAGCTGAGACTACATATGGCTGAGCAGCAACAGTGGTAAGATTTCCTAAATTTTCCCTCAAATTCTGTTATTTTCCCTTTCTCTGTTCGTTCTTTCAGAAAGCTTATCCTTCAAATGAAATTTTAAGCTTAGGCACATTTGGTTAATTACCGATCTTAGCAGTGCAGATGAACTGAGTTGCGGGAAATAGAAAGTTTGGGAGGAGTTTAAGTGTTGCCTGTTTGCCCCAAAAGGGGAAGTGTACCAAAGCGTGTAGATATGGCAGGAAGTACAGGTTCTGAAAATAGACAAAGGGTCTTGCATACCCCCCAAATTGCTTTCACCTTATCAGCATAGACCTGGCTAGTTTTGCTCACAAAAGAAGAATTTGCAAGGTTTTTTAGATCATTACAAACAGCAAAGTGTCAGGTTTTTGTATGCAACTTTGTAGCTAACAAAAGGTAGTTCTCTGAGCATGCTGAAAGGGGCACAGGTCTGTGTAACCTGCGTTTGCTTGTGAGAAGCGTGGTAACTCAGAATTGTAGCAGTGATAGCTGCAGTCCTTCCTCTTTCTTTAACTCAGCTCTGTAATGCAGTAGAAGCTGTCAGTTAAGAGCAGAGCAAATGATGCTTTAACCCCTTGTGTCTTCCCAGGTGGTATCATGATAATCTTACCCGACACGCAGCAGAAGCGCTGCTGCTTTCCAATGGGCAGGATGGAAGTTATCTCTTGAGGAAGAGTAATGAAAGGGAAGATCTTTACTCCCTCTCTGTAAGGTAGTGTATGGACCCAAGTGAATTTATCTCATGCCTCACAGCTAGCAGTTTTAAAATCTGCACTTACTCCCATGTTTGTTTGCTTGTCTCATGCATTGAGGTGACCTGCAGAGATTTTCCTAGGGCTCAAACTATTTTAATACATCTTCCTAATGGTGTAATCCTGCTGAATGGCATTTTGTTAAAAAGAAAAAAAAAAACAAAACACATTGGATTGCATTGGAAAATGGCACTTATTTTTACAAACTGTGAATTGATCTTATTGACAAAAAATATAATTCTGTGGATTTGCTGTAGATACTCAGTCTTCATGATAAAAACATATATGGCAGTTACAGGAGTTAAAGAAACAGCTGATGGGAGTAGAAAAGTTTTATGATGAGAACAGCAGCAAAGGTACCAGTTAATGAGTGCTAAATTAGCCAGCTTTAAAAAGGAACTGGTAAATAGAGTAAGTACAACTCATTGCAACACTGTATTTCTTGTGAAATTAAATGAAAAGATGAAAACCCTGTCATTGCAGTGGAGTCACAGCAGCTATTTGCTGTTGTGGGGCCTCTGCGCATGGCTTGCATGCACTGTGTCTCAGCTGACTGTAGCACAAAACACGCAGGACATCAACAGAGGAATGTTCTACAACATCACAAGTACTGTTCAAAGATAAATACTTGTTTAAGTACCTGTTTGAAATTATAATATCATGTGGAAGTGGCAATAAACAATGTAAAAGATGCTATAAACCCCTTTCTTCACTATGTTTTCAACATATTTGCTCCATACAATTTCTCCTCAGAGAAATTCTTCCCTGGACTGTTTTGGATGCTAATAACATTAACAGAAGTAACTTTTTCACATGAGAGATACTTGCAGTAAGTGCTTTACTGTCTCCTGAAGTCAAAATAAGTGCCTGTCCAGGAAGTGAGGCCTTGCAGACTTCTCTAAATATCATCAGCTTTCATAAACAAGTACTGTTACTTTCTGCACAAAGGACCCTGTTTCATGTTTGACAGTGCCAACCATAGAGGAACTCTTTGTCTCAGTACAGAGACAAAACAAACAAACAGGTATCTAATGTTATTAAATCCCTGTTTGGGTGCAGAAAGAGGCAGCTGATTTTTGAAAGATAAATAGGAGAGTTAATTTAACTGCCTTTGCCTTTCTAGGCTTTTGTCATCTCACATCTGTAAAGCAACAATTAGATTTTTCTTAATAAATCTGAGTCTCAGCTGTGTGGAGTATTAGTGAGGGACAGTTATAGTGGTAACATTGCTGCTAGGACGGTGATTGTCAACCTGTGATCTAGGCCACCTTTCCTGTAGTGAAAGCTGCTATTTAAGGGTTGCACATGTCAAATGCCTTCAGCATTTACGCATTGACAAATTTTCTTTTTTTTATTTTAGGGGAAAAGATTCTGTCAAACACTTCCTTGTTGAACATACAGGAACGTCTTTCAAATTTGGATTTAATGAATTTTCTAGCTTGAAGGAATTAGTCATGCATTTTGCAAATCAGCCTTTAATTGGAAGCGAAACAGGTAAGGAGAGCATAAGTTCACATGAACACATTTGTAGTCATGCTTTGTACAGATCTAAGTAAAAGGAGCTTCCAGTGTCTTCAAATATCTGTCAAGGAGCTTCCAATGTCTTCAGTGTCTATCAAATGAATCTACTGCTGAAGTGTTCCTCTTCAGAGTTCATGACACTGAACCACAGATATCTTAGATGTTCCTCTTAAAAACTCAAGTACTCTGAAGACAAACTACATGTAACCTCATGGGGTTTTTGATAACCAGGGATGTGAGCTCCTTTTGATTTCTCAGAGCGAGAAGTAGCATTTCAGAATCTGCATTTACTGGGAGCAACAGAACCTTCTCAAAAAGGGAAAAACTAAAGCAGGGTGTTTACTGAGGAAATAAAAGTTCATCTATGAAGTTGAAATCCAGGAAAAAGAATAAATGGAAATGGGATTTGAAATTTTTTAGCTATTACTCCACTGTTCCTCATTCAGGGAAGAAGTCCACAGTGATATGTGCCTCTTTCCTTTAGGGAATGTGGCCTCTATTACCTCTCCCTTTCTATCTACCATGGATCAGGCTGTAGTGTTGTTTCTTGTTTTTAAAAAAAAGGGGAAGAAAAGCAGAGGTTTGTTTAGCAGCCAACATGCCATCTAAATTAAGTTGAAAGGTAAATTTTGATTCCTACAAGTGAGTTGAACACTACCAGGCCAGAATTCACATAGAAGCAGATGCTTATTATAATGGTGATGCCAGTTTTAGGTTTAGCTTCAAATGCAGGAGTTGAAAAAGGATCAGTACAAGTTAGTTCCAAAAGCTTCAGTACCCTGTGTAGAAAGTGTATTTAAATACCTCATAGAGTAGTACTAATTATATAGACAAGACACAAGTTAAGTGATAGCTGGCAAGTGCAATAACTGTAATAGGTCACACACTGCACTAAGGGCAGCATTCTTGTAACTCAAGCATTAAATTCAAGGGTTGCTTTGCCTTTTTTTTTTTTTCTTTTTCCCTGCAAGAAAAATGCACTCAATATAGCATTTGTGTCTTTCAACATATTCTCTTTTGAAACTGCTTTTAAGAGTGGTTCAAACACAAAGTTCCCACTTGTATCTTTTGTGCCAGTGAGCACAAAGACATGCAGCATACAGGCCTAACCCTGTAAAGGTTTCAGATTACATATAAAACTTGTATTTCCCCATTCCTTCACTGCACACATTACAGACTTCAGTGATCAAGGCACTGGTGTTGTGTGATCTCTATGAGCAGGATCAACACTGCTGAATGATGAGTTCACTTGTTGCCTTAAAGATCTCTAATCAGATTCTGCTGGCTCTGTGAAACCTCTTTAATTTGGATGTGCTACAGAATGAGAAAAGTAATTTGAACATCACATCAAGAAACCTTCCACCTTACGTTACCATGGATAGCAGCAGAGAGGAAGAGAGATCTAGCACTCAGGCAGTGTTCCTTCCTTCAGAGGTGTCCAAGGTCTCATGGGTGGTAGCTGATTTATACTAAAATGGGGGTAGAGGCTCATCAGAGCCCACTCTAAGCCAAGTGTCAGTGTGGCAGAATGGCTGACTCAACACAGGGTCACACAGAAGGTTGGCAGAAGGGCCAGGAATAGGGCCTTGCCATTCAGTGAAAGGCAGTAAACAACCTGTAGCTCAGGTATTAGTAGAAAGTAGTTGGACCAGTTTTTCTTTTTCCTTGTTATACTTACAAACAATTTTCTGTAAAAACACTGTGAGAGCAGGAATGAAAGAGTAAAGCAGGATAGCATTTTTCATCTCCTCCTTGCTTACAGAAAGAATTTTGTAAGGCAGAGACCCACAAGATAGAATACATAATGGTTTCCACTATCTCCAGTTTGTATCACTGGAGCTAGTTTTGCTTCTGAGGGGGCACACCAGACTCTCGTTGATCAGTGCTTGAACATACAGGCCTGTACCTTGCAAACTAGTCCGTGGAGCACAGTGGTTCTTTTGTACTAGGACACCTGCAGGTTTCTGCTTTGAGCCAAATAAACCTTGTCTTACCACAGCTTCATTTGCCATTCCAAATTGCTACATGGACTCACGTCTATTTTTCTGCAGTGTCATGTATCCACTTCCTTGTGAGCTACAGATAAGTAAAAGGAAATTGTGTTCTGTGAGATGGCTTACTGAACAGGCAAGCTTTTAAAGCAATATGCCATCATATTTCTGGATTTCCATCTTTATTTGAAGTGACAAGGTTGACATAGTATTTTTACTTGTTTGCTTTGTCAGTTTTTACCTAAATTATTTTGAAAGTGTATAAAAAAGCTTTATTATTTAAAATAATTAAAATAAATTAAATATTTCAATAAAATAATTAACCCCCCCGACTTTATTATTAAAAAGTAAAGTCATTACCCAGACAAAAAATATAAAGTCATTTGAAGCTAAAATGTCTAACAGTGGGACTCATTTTAAGTCTTCCTTAGATATCACACACAAATGCAAGAAGAATGTTGCTACAGTGCAACTTTTACTATTTCTTTTATACAGCTACCAGATGATGCTGTACAAACATCTTTTGTGGAGAAAAAAACATGGAGAACTTATTGGAAAACAAGTATTGTATAAAATGTTAAATCAGTCCTCCTGGTTCTGCAGCGTTTATCCATGGTATAGAGATGATGGTACTCTGATTCTGTGCAACAGCTTAAGAGTAGTTTCTGTAGACTGGTAATAGGTGTATTCTCCATCTGATTTTAAATGATAAAGCAATGTTTTTTGTAAGGCCAGAGAGAATGAAACTGATTTTGACTTTTCACCTACTACAAGTTGAATATACCACATTTGCATAGACCACCTGTGCCTGTGAACACATTTCAGTTGATTAATTCAAATAGAGTTTTCCCCACTTCTATTTGTAGCCCTTCCCATTGCAAAATATACTTTATTTCATTTTTAGATTACTCAATCACTTGCAGATTTCAAGTCCGAGTTCTTACCAATTCTAGCATCCTTCCTCTTTTAAGAGCTGACAATATCACCATAAGATGCAGATGGAGCAGCACTTGGTACGCTTTGACATTAAAGAGTGAGATTAAATGGTGTAGCAGTTACTTTTTTAAGGAGACTTCAGTATTGCAGATAGTTTAATAGATTCACTATTGAGAATGCAGCTTTTTAAAGAGAATGTGCAGTAAACATGATCTTATTTGGGAACAAATAATGGCTATAATAAAAGAGTTACTATCTAAAACAGTTAACAATGATGCTAATGTGGGCTTACTGTTAGGAGGTCTCTATCCAAAGCTCTGACAGATGAAGCAATTTATGCAGCAAGCAGTGGGTTGTTGGCAAAACCAGGCTGTGATGGCCTCCTATCTAGGCTAGCATCCTGCCTATCCACCCAGCCAGCCTCCTGTGCAGTAAGGGAGTTTAATGTGTCAAGTGATTCCCTGCAAGAAGTAGTAAGTTTAAAGGTTTTAAAAAGGTACCATATATTTACAGTTTTCACAGTCGCAGGTAAAGAGGCATGATAATGTCTGTAGTCACATCCTCATGAACGCAGTGAAAGTGCAGGTCACCTGTAGATCATGGTTTCAGCTGTAACTGTGAAACTGTGTTTCAGTTTGTTCTATATTACTTAGTTGCTTGCTGACTGAAAAGAAGGCTCAAGCAGGAGAGGAGACACCTGCCTTTGAGGGTCCTGTTTTGACAGTCCTGTTCTGTTGCCGTCTTAATTTTTCACCCCTTTATCATGCACTGCAGAAGGGGTTTAATTAACTGCTGCTTAGGAGAAGTGAAGACGTTTTTCAGTCTTGCTTTCAGAGATGTAAGGGTAAATAGACTCCCACTGTACAGGGAGGAGGGAATGGGTTTAGGCGTGGTCCAGGTGTCTAAGGTGTCAAGGACTCTGGGCCATACAAGAGAGCCAAGGAAGTGAGACTGGGCAAGTGAATCCAGGAAATATCCTTCTGTGCTTTGGATGGGTGGATTATTGTAGAAAATGTCCCTCACAAAGTCTAAATCATTCAGATGATGCATGTTAGAAATATTTGTCTGGTTTTACCAGTATGGGAGAGTCATTTATAGCATCTGACTGTTTTCTCAAATCAGTGTGGCCTGAGTCCATTCCCCTTACAGGAGGTGTCACATAAATCTTAGGGCAGTTACTAGTTCTTACGCATTTTTTAATTTGGGAAAAGATAAAGTTAACCATTCCTCAAACAGGGAGCTACTGCCAGTTATTTTCTAAGACTATCTTGCCAGATGACTCCTGCTCTTTTTCTCTCCAGGAACCTTAATTGTATTGAAGCATCCCTACCCACGGGAAGTAGAAGAACCTTCCATTTATGAGTCTGTCCGAGTTCACACAGCCATGCAGACAGGAAGAACAGAAAGCGACCTTGTTCCAAACGCTCCTTCAGTAAGTTGTGTTCAGTGAGAGGGGTGCTTCTCCTGGCCCGAGTTTTATATGATTTCTGGAGTGAGCTATGGAATAACGCTGGTAGTTCATCCCCTTATGGGCTTGTAGATACAAGACATTTTTGTCAACCAAGGCAAAACAAACACAGACTCGCTAAGTACAGTCCCCTGACAGCTAAAGCCTTTTAGAACTGTCACTGAGATTTTCAGTGCTGTCACTGGAAGAACGCTGTCTGCAGTTGACCTAGATAAGTCTGACGATCCAAACAAAGAATATATGAAACGTTTTCATTCTCCTGTTGCCTTCCTTTTAGAATGCCATCTTAGCAATAACTAACTTTCTCAGGAATTAAAAACCAAACCAAACCAAAGCAACCCAACCCACACCACACAAAACAAACACATCACTTCTCACATCTTTCTGACAACACTCATCAGGCTGTATGCAGCAATACACATGCCAGGTTGCACAGTAAGCCCTTAATTTGCCCAACATCCTTTACAGACAACGGGAAGTCTCTTTCTCTCCCCTCCCAGGTGAGAAGAATACACCAAATAGCAGACTCAAGTAAGTTATGGGATTTACCACGTTTTGTCTCACTTGGTGAATATGAGGATTAAAGGACAGGAAACAGTCTTGACAGACATAAACTCATTACTACGTATTATTTTTGCAGGCTTCTTTGTTTCTTAGAATTATTTTGTCCAGTTAGCAATATACAGCCTCCTTCTTAACCAGGAGGAAGAAAAGAGCATCTCTGACTTTTCAAGTCAATTAAAAAGGAACCTTTTGAAAAAAGTACTCAGAGATGTAAAAGACAGGCAGGGACACATGTGGAAAAGGAAACCCCAAACTGGAGCTCAATACAACCAAGTTAATCAGATAATCTATATGCAGATAGGTACATTACTCAAAAGGGGTATTTTTTTTGGCATCTTCACGCTCGGATTTTATTATTTTAGAATCACCTTATCCTAAAGCAGGAAGACAGTCTGTATTCTGACACAGACTTAAACCCAGAAGAGGGGTTTGACGGAAGAGCCTCCACCCTTTCAGTCCTAGTAGTTCTGAGCACAGTAAAAAGCTACATCATGTTAAAACCTATGGCTTACTGGTGCGAGGAACAAAAGAGCATCTTCGTATCTACTTGGGCCACCAAATGATGACATCTATGACTCACTTAGACAGTAGTAGAGACTTCAGATTCCTAGTAACTCATATCTAAGTGAGAGAAGTGGTTTCCAGAACAATATTGCTTGCAGCAGAGAGGAAAGTATTTTAGTTACGTACTATATTTTTTGAGGAAAAGAGGAAGAGCTACATTAATACGGGTCAGTGAAGTTAATGAAAGAACCACTTTGGATGTATCTCACAACCAACTGTTCATGGCCGAGTTCCGCTTTAACCTTCAAAGAAACTTGACTTCCACATGCAGCCATTAAAAAGGCAGTATTTTTCCAAGAGCCAAGTAGTAACTAGCTTGGCAAGAATTTGTTTTCTAGAGGTGTGCAGTCTCACAAGTAGGTCCCTACACAGAGTTTTAGTATCTGAGAAGTCATAAGGTCCTAGCATCACTCATGGTGGCAGAGAAACAGTTCAAAAAACAAGTTTTCAATAACATATTGAATGTATCAGGTTTCTCCTCTCAAGCATGTGGCTGGCTGAGAGAACACCTAAGTAAAACACGTCAGGAGTGATATTTGTGGATAATTCCACTGTCAGCTAAACCCCAGGTGCTTCTGGTTACAAGACATTCTGAGGCAACCATCTAACTTTACCAAATAAACTGTAACTGCAACTATTTCCCAGTGTTTGGTTGAGAAGACGCAGGCCAGAAGCGTGCTGAAGGAGGCATGGTCTAAGAGAATGCCTTTAAAGCTATCACAGGCCCATGTTTAACCTAGCTGTGGATCCAGCCCTGTGAAGGGAGAACAGGAGTGAGGACAGGGCAAGTGGCCATGGGAAGTTTCCCCAATGACAGGATGCTTTTACTTATTCCAGACATAGGCAGAGAGATGAATGTGGGAAATGAAAAGAGAGCGTAGACTCTAACTCCAGTCCCTTCCTTGTTCCTTCACAGCTTGGTACAAAAGAAGGATATTTGATAAAACAAGGCAAAATAGTCAAGGTAAGGATAAACTCTTACTCCTTGTTTCCACTCTACAGTCACCCACAGAACTTGGAGACAATGTGGAGCTGAAATAGCTCCATGTGCATTCCCCTGCAGAGAGCAACAATAAAGCACGGCTGTAAACCAGAGCAAGTCGAAGCTTTAAAGCTTTTTCTTTCCTAAGATGCATTACACTCAATTCTCACAAGACAGTTACCATCCATCCCTTCTTGATCTTTCAGAATTGGAAGACAAGGTGGTTTACACTGCATAGGAATGAACTTAAGTATTTCAAAGACCAGACAGTAAGTACCAAATGCCAGTTCTACTCTTTAAACCTCTCTAGAGGCAGCTGCAGCCTCCTCATATCTCTGGCTTCTCGCATCTGTATCAAAGCTTCCCATACTGTCAGAGGGATCAGACCTCTCAAATTAACTTAAACATCTTGCTGATGACTTCAACAAGCAAAAGCAAGTTTTACAGCTGGAAAACGTTTACCATGTTCTGCAGTCTTACCTACTAGAGCTGTTATTTATAGTACATTTTTGGTTGCTTTGTTCAGTGGATTTTAAGGGACCAGCCCAACATGGTTTTTATCAGTAGCTTTGACACAAAACCTAGCAGACAGTAGTGCTACTAAATATTTCTGCAGATACTAGAGTATATTTTGCGCTCCTTGCTTTCATCCTTCTATTTCGAGTATACATAGAAAGCCACTGATTTAAAAACGTCCTTTCTAGCACTCTGACCTGGATTAACCTGCTGCAGCCGGGAAAAACAGTTGCATGTGCTGTTCCATTCCATTCTTAAACTGAGTAAAAATAAGAGATATCACTTAAAGTTTCTCCACCCTTACAGTATCTCCTTCATAAACACAGCCTCTGCACCTCTGCCAAGCCCTGTTTAAAGCATATCACAGATTTTAACACAACAGCAGACACAGCTCCCACTCACCAAACATTACCATTTATGAACAGTTACATGTTCACAAGGCTTTCCATCAGTTTTCATTTCAGTTCAAGCCAACTTCAGTTAAGTTTCCAGGATAACATTTCAAAGTGCAGCACTCCAAATGCTTGAGTAGCCTTTGTGACTTACCAGGCAAGAAGGTGTCTGTGTCAGGAATACGGCCTCCTCCCAGGCAGCAGCTCTCGTGTCTCCTGGCACTGTCATTGTTGCTGTGGGGTTGCAGATACCTACAGGTGAGCAACTTGCTGCTGGCCCTGGGAAGGCATTTGCTAGCACACCTTAGCAAAAGGGGCATACTTCTAGTATAGTGTGTAACAGCCACCGAGCCAGAGGAAAGCACAAGGAAAGGTGAGAAAGCAACAGAGACCTCCATACACCTGATGAAGGGCCATGGGAAGAGCTGAGTGTTTGGGTAGAGGGCAACCTGTTCTACTACTTGAGCTGCTGGTGACACTGTTTATTAGTGGACTTGGCAGTGCTAGATTAGCAGTTGGACTTTATAGTCTTAAAGGTTGTTTCCAACCTAAATGATTCTATAACAGTGTAAGGCCAAACACCTTACAGGATGAAAATCTTAAGGGAGATGGTTTATAGTTACACACAGTCTACATACCTGTACCTGAGCACTTCTAGGTCAGTACTAAGAAACCTCAACATACACCCAGTGGTCATACAGCCAAACCCCTCACCTCTGCTGCAAGCACCACCTTAGCTTTACTTCTGTATTTCTCCCTGCCCAGATGCATCCTTTTTAAAGCATTTAGGAGTTAATGAAATCTCCAACAGCTGGCTAGGCCTGGTAAGACCGGTAACCATCCCCTTGTCTCTGTAACCTGTAGCTGGGAGTGATACCAGATTTGCTGCTGTGTCAGTTACATTATAATGCAGCAACCAAACTTTAAGCAGTCTGCATTTAGCTGACACTTTCCTGCAGTAGTGACCTCTGTTGTTTGTCTAGATCTGAACTGTCCTGTTCTTTTATACTGAGCTCAATTCCTATCATGTTAATACTGATGTTATGCTTGTTAGTTTGGGTTGTGCTATTCCTATGCCTGGAAAAACCTAGTGTGCTTGTAAAGGTCATGATGTACTGAAGATGAACCAGCTAGCGTTATTGTTTGTTTCCACACATTCCCGTTCTAAAATCATTCTATTTTCAAGGCCACAGAACCGATTCGGGCACTTGACTTAACTGAATGCTCAGCTGTGCAATTTGACTATTCCCAGGAAAGAGTCAATTGTTTCTGGTAAGTTGCTGTACTCCTTCCACCTTGATGGAAAGGTCAGAATAGCCAGGGAAGTTTGAAAAGTGACAGCTGCATGCTTCTGAAAGCTCCCTGGCCCATTATGACCTGGCTCTTTCTCTAACTCAAAAGTCTGTTTCTGTCAGCCAGCCTCTGTCAGTCCTGCATGGCTTTGCCACATTACCACTGGAAAAAGGTTTCTTTTTCTTGGCAAGGAGGAAGGGCCTGTGTGCAGCGGGCATTTCATTTCCCAATTCTGTAAGCATGTATAATCATCACATAGACCCATGGAACTTAGGGGCCAGTCCCAGTTCAGACATTGCTACCAGTCACACAGTAACCACTTCTACGCCCAAATGGGGGACTTTTGTCCTTACGGGCCTGGGGCAGCTTCTCCCCCCAGGTGTAAAGGACTGTAAAGAGTTCTTGGCTAATGTCCCTTCTGGTGACTGCATGGGAGCACATCCTCCCCACCCTGGTCTGTCTAAACTGCTGGTGCAGGCCAGCTGGGTTCAGTTTTAGGAAGAACTTACCAGTTCTCCTAGCAATTTAACAAACGGCCTATAATTGTTTACTTACAGTTTAGTGTTCCCGCTAAGGACGTACTACCTGTGTGCAAAAACTGGAATAGAAGCTGACGAGTGGATTAAAATACTGCGATGGAAACTGGTAAGATAATGTGTAGCTTTAGGCTGCAGTACACCTTGGACAGCAGTACCCCTGGTACTGCCATCATAAACCCCCAAGTATGGTAGCATCCAAGCGCTACAGCCCTCAGTATCTGCAAGAAGGGAATAATTGTTCCGGTTTCCAGGCCAACTAGGCTGGGATATGTAGTTTTTGCATAATGTATATGCCTCCAAACCCACTTAGCTATTTTGGGATGCACTCTTAACACACATACTCACTAGGAAGAAGAAATAACTTCCATCTTTAAGGGTGTCATTGTGTATATGATAAACAGTATGGAACATCAGCACAAACCGCATGTGTTGGGTCATGAAGGGAGCAATGAGAAGACACTGTAAAGGCTTTGAAAGCATCACTTCCTTAAGAATACCAGTATTTGGGTTGGTCATGCTCACGTACATCCACATGCATGCAAGCAAACAGTAACAGATCATCTTCCTGTTCTAGTCACAGATACGGAAGCAACTGGAGCAGCGTAACGCCACCCTCAGCTCCTAGCTGCACCTCTCCTGCTTCCCTCCGGTGGCAGGAACTGCCTCCTGGCCAAGGAAGGGCATCGCTTACAAGAGGACGGTTTCACATCTCCGTTACTCATGGTGGGCACACGTGTCTGTGTACTCGCATGGGGACACTTGCATACAGCTCTGTGCACAGAGGACTCGTACAGCTGAGTGCTCTCAGGCCACTGAGTCACGTGCGGAGACAGCCGCAAAATCAGTGTGTTGGTTTGGTGTGCATGGTGTGTGCCTGTAACACTCTTAAACACCTCTTAACTAGTCACAGAGGTAGTCACTGTTGAAAACTTCTGTGGTTATTCAGAGCACTCTTGGTAATTTGTTGGAAGCACCATCACAACTTTCTATCAGCAAGCAGCACATTCTTTAACCTTGAGCCAGTTATTTAAAACCAGTCCTTTCTGGAAACATTAGTTACTTCTTTTGTATGATCTGTTTAGGCTCTAAACCAAAAGAAAAATGACAGTAGTCATTTACATTGTTGTAAATAGTATCTATATTACAACCCAGAGAATATTTCAAGGTGATGGATGAGTAAACACTTAGTTCTGGTCAAATCTCTTTTTGTATCAGTTACATTTGTACCCCAGTGATGGCTATAAGGGACCATTTGTTTCAAACAGCATCATCTACAGGCAACAGTAAACAGCAGTATGCAAACACACTTGACAAACTGGGGTTACGAGGAACAGGCATACTTAAAATAGCTGCTGTGGGACCCTAAAGATGGTGAAAGGGCTTTGCAGAAGGCTTTACCTGTGGCATCTGCCAGCGCTGTGAGTAGCATCACGAGTTGGAACCCCAACAGCCCTCCTTGGGAATGGGCTGGATTTTATGTTTTCCTCACGCAGAGAACTCAAAATGAGGTTCTTTGCAGAACTATAGTTCTACACTTAGTTCAAAACTGCAACTCAGTTCAGAACTAAACGCTGCTTTGTATTAAACAAGAAGCACCACATATACTAAAAATAGGAATTTAAAAGAATCCATACTCTGTAATAAACTGATGTAAATTCCTATCTACATTTTGGAAGACTCACATGAATTTAACAGTTGTGGCTGGCTAGAGTCAGGAAGCGGAAGCCCCGCACTTTGGTGCTGTAGTCAAAATAGCTGTTACGCTGTGGAAGCAAAGTTTGACACGCTGGAGGGTCCCAAGAGCAGCTTGGCCTGACCTCAGAGCTGACCCAGCAGCAAGATGAGACCCCCTGGATAATCCTGCTCCCACTGGAGGGCTGGGGAAGGAGGGGCCCATGTACCTGTGCAACAGTCAAGTTTCTGCTGAAACAGCACATGCAAACCTCTCCTATCCATGCAAATGCTGTGGCACAGGTCAGTATTCAACAGATGCCTCTACTGTGAGAAGGCTGAAGAGGAGGGGAAAAACAGACTGGGAGAAGAAAGAAAATACTGATTTGGAGATAGAAATAGCATTTTATTTCAACTTAGAAATGAAAAATATTTGTGAATATTTTTACACAGACTGTTTTCTGAATAAAATATCATTATAAAAGTACCAAAGGTCTTCTGTATTCATGCACTGTGGTGGTAAAGCCGTGTCCTCCTTTTCCTCTTCAAGAAGCAGTCTAACAAACAGGCATCTCCCGTTCAGTTAAACAACTTGGATGAGTTGATGTGAGAGAGAGGCAGTGTGACGGGAAGAGAGGGACAATGTTCTCCAACAGCATCACTGTTCTGTGACAACAGCTTGAAAATGAAGCCTGAAGTATATCCACAGAAGCAGCCTTCCCCTTTTCACACCAAAAGGCTGTGGTACAAAGTATTGAAGACCGTTAGCACATGGTGTCATGAACTGAAGCCAGCGGCAGAAACAGGGTTGGCAGGCCTAAGAAACAGTCACCTGCAGATGAGCTGAAGAGGAGCTAACAGCAAGAGGAGGCTTAGGTGGAATGCAAATGCCTTTTGCCAGAAATACGCATGGACACCCTGAGGCTCAGTTTCCAGCTGGTTCTGTGAGGACCAGCGACAGAAAGCCCCCACGAGGAGATCAGTTTAAATGGAAAAGGGTTGACCAACAACTCCCAATTTCCAAGAGAGCTTTGAGCCAAGGATTTGCAGTCCTCACTTCCAGCACAGCTGCTCCCCTCATCCTGCCTGATGCTGAAGGGGAGCAAGATGTGAACAAGGGGCAGTGGCAACCCCCTTTCCCAGCCTGAGGCAGAGACCTGCCAAGAGCTCACACTTAGAGCTTGGTTTCAGTGCTACAAGTCTACACCGCAGCCATCACGAAGGGAGATGCAGGAGGAAATAAGGGACTGACCCCAGTGACAGGATCTCTGCACTGGCATGGGACTTTCTATCCTTATCACCCAGCCATGGGACACGTTGGTTAGTTTTCAGGCTCTAAACTCCTGAGTTTTGTACACTTACAAACAGCGACAGAAAAGCCGATGTGCTATGGAGTATAACGGTGCGACAGAAGACTGGACCAGGTTCTGTCATTTAAAAATACTGTATTTATTTATATGTATTTATTTAGGAAAACCTAGGGGTAAATGAGCTGAGAGAGTCACCAGTGATGAACCCACACAAGGACTATGAGACAAGAGATCTTCACAACCATATTACGCAAAAACCCCGTGAAGAAAAATGAGACATTGTTCAGGTGCTTTTATCTGGGCATCAGGAAAACCCCTGAGGCAACAGCTTTCACAGAAATAGCTTTCTTCTCAATGGAAGCAGGATGCAGCTAGCATCCAGATTAGTAGCATTCCCTTGCCAAAATTATCACCCCTATGAGAAAGCTGGGATATTTATTGATTGTACCGACACATCACGGCTAGTAAACTTGCTCTCACAGTAACTCCTTCAACCACAACTCTGATAACACTGTACAACCAATCTGCCTTCCAACGCGTAGTAGCACACACCCCAATACCTGCCTGGTTTCCTGTAAAGCAAGAGATCTGTGGATCTGTGGGTTGCTCATGTTAGCCAGTGGCATCATGCCGATCTGGCAGAGCTAAACTCCATGGGAGCTATTTTGGTGGTCTCTTCAGTACTGCATGATACAAGAAGCATGGCCTAAAGTAACATCCACCTACAACACACTAGTAGATCATTTCAGATTCAGTACTATGTACAATTTACTCTTACTTAGTATACTAAGGAGCCATGGTATTTCTTCTGAGGCATGTTATTTGACTGAGGATTATTGAATCTGTCCACTGGGCTGCAGAGGGATGCTGCACTCCGGCTATACCATCAGGTTAAGAAACTTCAACAACCTGCCTCAGTTCTTCAAACAGGGGCGCGAGCTCCTTCTCTAAACTTAGAATCAGCCCTGGAAAGAGAGGAGAGACACAACAAACATCCCATCAAACCACATAACTGAGAAGCCTCTCTGCAAACCTCACCACTCCCTCCCCTCCCAAGTCACAGGCATCATGCTCCAAAACACAAAACCTTTCACTTGGGCTGATCACTCCATGGGAACAACAGTGTCACACCCCATGCAGCACAGCTCTCCTGTCCTGCTGCTGGCCTCCACTGTTGCCTCCCTGCTTCCCACAGCTGCCAAAGCCCAAGCAGTTGCAGAAGGATTCAATCCCTTTGGCTCACACTCATTAGCCAATGCCCTCATGAGCAAGGCTCAGAGGACTCCCCACCCCACACAACTGAGGGGATGAAGTTACATGTGTTACTGCAGAACCCAACTTGAAAGAGACTGAACAACTGGCTTTGCACAGAACAAGCACTACTGATGCAGTGAGCACGCTCACACAGCAAGGGTTAGGCTAACCACAGGAGAACCTGTACTTCTAAATGAACAACTTCAACAAGTCACTTAAAAAGCTATGCATTTTTACTCACACCTTTCATAGAATCACAGACTGGTTTGGGTTTGAAGGGACCTTAAAGCTCATCCAGTTCCAAGCCCCTGCCATGGCCAGGGACACCTTCTACTAGACCAGGCTGCTCAAAGCCCCATCCAAACTGGCCTTGAACACTGCCGGGGATGGGGCAGCCACAGCTTCTCTGGACAACCTGTGCCAGTGTCTCACCTCCCTTATAGTGTACCTAATCTAAATCTCTCCTTTACAATATGCTGACAAAATTCATAGCAGGAGCAAAGTTAATATACATCAAAGTAAATTCAGGTGATTTGGTTTCAATATTTAAAATACACATGAAGACATACCCGTATTGGCATTGCTGCTAGCAATGAAGCTTACTACCAAAGGTAAGCGGTTGAACTGCACTACCTGGAAGGAGAGAGAAGAGTGTTCAGTCAGCAGATAAGCATGTTGGATGTCAGAGCTCTGACACTTAATGCCATCTGAAACAAGCAGCCTCCTCAGTTGAAAACACCGACAGAACTTACAACATGGTACCAGGAGCTCAAAGCCTGGCATTTCCCTCCTTCCCATGCTCTACAGTGTTATCCACCACACTCTCCACAGGCAGCATGAAAGCAGGGGGGTTTACTGGTTTAAAATACAGTTCTGTGTACAGCAGTATCTCTACTTCCATTAACAGGGAACTGGAACCTTGAGCACATGAAGCCAGTCACATCAAGAGAATCAAAGGAATGCGCTTGATGTGTGTAAACTAACTCATTCACCCGTTTATGTTCCGAACAGGCCAGGCTAAACAGCTGGCCAGTTTACTGCAGTCATAATAAACAGCTCTGAAGCCCACTAGGACCTGAGAAGGAGCAGAAACTCAGTAGGCAATGGATTTCAGGACACAAATAACCAGCTTGTAAAAAAATGAGAGAGGCATTTCCAAGCTTTCTTATCTCTAAATCACTCTGGCACCAAGATTAGCTATGAAGCAGACTGCATGTGCTTATTAGTTTAAATGCCACTAATTATAAATAAATATTGTTTGTGAAAGATGATTTAAACCCTTCACAACAGATTGAAGGCCACATGAGCAGCACCTGCTCCAAATTCCTGATCCCCACCTCTTGAGAACACGTCACCATTTTTAAACAGTACATCTCAGTTTTGAGAAATACAGAAGAAGCTGAAAATGGTGTGACAGTTTAGGCTCTGGCATTTAAGCAGTGTGAGAAATAACATGCAAATACTTAAAAAGCAGTAAAGTCAAAGTCTGGCAGTGTTTAAGCAACCCCCTCTCCCTTGCTAGTGTAGAATCATAGAACGGATTGGGATGGAGAGGACTTTAAGACCATCCAATTCCAACCCCCTGCCATGGGCAGGAACACCTTCCACTAGACCAGGGTGCTCAAGGTGCTGTCCAACCTGGCCTTGAAAACATCATGCAGGAGCAGCCTGTATCACCAAGAACAAACCACACCGAGGTGACTCACCTGGTACGTATTGTAATAGCAGATGATACTTTTGTTTTTAGACAGTCCCAGTTTACTGCCCTGATCTGTGGCAAGGGCAAAGGTGGAGAGAAAGCCTGGTCGCAGTGCGTGTTCTGGAGCATTATCATTGGCAACTGGAACAAAACAAGACAATTCTTATCACTACAAGTTATGTCTGACTGCATCTCAAGGAGTTAGCTGGCTCAGTCCTCCACTAGAAGTACATCTGATATTGGGAAACATGTAACACACCTCATG